TAGCTTTTCTTTTGTTTTTTAAAATAAAAAGGATTTCCTCTTCCCATTTATAAAATGTCCAATATATATATAATATTTTCTGGAAGTATGTAACAATGTATGCAACACGGATATATTCTGGTATGTAACTATAATATTGTCGCGAGGAAAAATAATTAAATAGGCTTCAGAATTACTTTAAATATTTATTTAATTAGTTATATGAAATATTTTAAATATAAAATAAAAGTTACATGAGCCAAATCGACCCAGCAGTTAGAGCAAGAGGGGAGAACTGAGTTTTTTCCTCCTTTTCCGTGGCGCCACTGTTTACGCCGACCGGTAGGTCCAGTCCAGATAAGATGGAACACCAGGAAACTCTGTCCTCCTGACTATATAGTATGCAACAATGTGTTCCAATATGTAACATTGGTTAATGTATGTAACAAACAGGGTAGAGTGGGAGAATGTCACATATATATTCAATATGTAACACTATTCTAGTAATGTTCCAGTATGTAACAAAGGTCCTGTGTATGTAACAGTATTCTTGTATTCAACAATGTCACAGTAGGTAACAAATGTCCTGTGTATGTAACTGTATTCTTGTATGCAACAATGTTCCAGTATGTAACAAATGTCCTGTGTATGTAACAGTATTCTTGTATGCAACAATGTCACAGTATGTAACAAATGTCCAGTGTATGTAACAGAGTATTATTGTATGCAACAATGTTCGTGTATGTAACAAATGTTGGAATGTCTTTAATGACATTTGTGTTTTATATTGAAGCATCAGTTTTATTTGAGTTGTTATATAATGGAACATTGTTGCATACTGGAATACAGTTACATACCAGGACATTTGTTACATATTCAAAAACCTTTGTTTCATACAAGAATATTGTCAAATATTAAATATAAAAAATATCTGTTGCCTATAAAAATATTGCTGCATAAAAAAACAGTATTATAGTGTATTTTCATGCAACAATATTTCTATAGGTAACATATTTTATTATATTTAATATTCGACAATATTCTTGTATGAAACAACGGTTTTTGAATATGTAACAAATGTTCTGGTATGTAACTGTATTCCAGTATGCAACAATGTTCCAATATATAACAGCTCAAATAAAACTGATGCTTCAATATAAAACACAAATGTCATTAAAGAAATTACAATATCTAACAAATGTTCCAGTCTTAAAAATATAATAAACCATAAATAATGTGTCCCAGTATATAACAAATGTACAGTATGTAAAATATTATACTAAAATTTACCCACTACGTATCAGATGTGTTCTGTAATAATATCCTAATATTATATAAATTTTTCCTGTAGAAGGCCGTTATCCCGAAAGCTCGAAAAAACGTTTAATAAAATATTCTCATCCTTGGACGTTTAGTTTATTATCTAAATATACTCTAATATGTAGCAATGTTCCAATATGTAAAAATGTTA